GCTACTTGTTGCTTGCGCCAGCCCAGCCGAGATGCGGACTGGGTCGATGCAGTCAACTGGTCCCATGTCATACGAGTGCTCGGTTTGAAAAAAGGAGTGACTTATTATGCTCAGTCAGATTCACGGCATTTTTTGTGTTTTCAAAGCAAAGGCTTTTGCATATTTACTCTAATCAGAGTATCATTCGGTTGAAGTGCTACAGGAACTTTTACTGGATGAACCTCTGTAGTTTCTGCTACGTGGTGAGCCAAAAGTGTCGTAAAAATCCATATGGTAGGGCCGGGGTGACACCTCAGAGTGGCCTCTGGTGTGCAGTGTAGCGAGTATTTGAGTTGGTTCCACGATAACCGTACAAGCCTTGCACCCTCGGAATATAAGAGGTGTGGCGAAGCAAGGAGTGCCCGGCTTTGCATATTGTGCTGCTCGGTTGTTCGCGCTCTGATAGAAGAGATACAGGCACTCCTAGATACGATAACTAAGAAACTGGCGCCAAAAGCCAAACTCGATAACCGCGATAGTGATAACGACACGGCATCCACTGACACACAGATTGGTGTGCAAAATTTTAAGAACGACCTACGACAAGCTGTAAGTCGGACTTGAAAACTACCCACTAGCTTTGCCGACAGTGACTTGGAAAAAGCTATGCAAAGCGGGGTGAAGTGAGTATCTTCTAGTTCTCGCTTCCTCACAGCTGGCAACCCCAGTCTGAAAATTGCCGACCGTAAGACTAGGTCCACTTCAGATGAAAGAAACAGGAATGAAAAGCTCTCAGGGCCGACGACGGAACCATGCAGGCCGCAGGTCATGCCCAGTTCGGCCACCCGGTCGCTGAAAAGAACTAGGCGGAATGGGCTACAAGTCAGTTCTCAGCGTCAGGGTCACTGGACTAGGCATCAGTAAACCTTGCATACCCAATTCCGAAAATGGCAAGTGACTAAGTCTAAACGGCTTGCTGAGAAGCCAGTAAAGGTCACCGAACCAGCTATCACCACTCCACAGAGCAAAGAAAAAGTGGAGATCCTTGACAGGTCCGTAATCTTCCACAGAGTGAAAGAATGTGGAGACTCAGGACCACGTAAACGTTTCGAACATGACGTTGGCAAGGTATAAAGTTTGGTAAACCAGCTTTTACCGGAAAACACGCCGGAGTTACCCTACTCAAGATATGTAGGGTAGGAAAACAGGAGACAGTCTTTACTTAAAATAAATTTCGGCTACTTATAGTCGTGTTCAAGTCAGCAGATGAGAGGAATCAGATCCTGAAGAATGCTCACCGACTTCAAGGATCTACAGTGTTCCTGCCAAAGGATCTGGCTCTTGCTGATCGACTCAAGAAACGAGAGTTAGAAGCAGAATTAAAATTCACATTAGCAGCTGGAGAGCATTATCTGAAAGTAGTGGGTTTTCATGTAGTGAGGTTTCGGCAGTAAATGAGGCTGAAGCCCCTATGGATAGGACGGAAACCCATTTAAGTAGTTTCGTTGTCTTGTACACAAACGCACGTAGTTTCTTAAACAGGTGGACTGAGCTTATTGATGTGATAGGCAACGAAAGCCCTGATATCATTGGAGTTTCGGAAACTTGGCTGTCATCTTGGATCAGTGACTATGAAACACACTTACGAGGATTCGTCCCTTCTAGAAGTGACGGGTTAGGACGTAAAGGTGGTGTCGCTAGCCTTTACGTTAAGAATACCTTAACTGTAAAAGCCATAAAAACAGTTGCACATGAGTGTGGGACATGTGAAATTCCGCTCTATCGAGTAAAATGCAAGAGGCAAGATGTTAATGTAATGGTAATATATCAAAGCCCTGAATGTGAGGCAGCAGACTTCCTCCTGAATAGGCTGACCCTCTGGACAAATAAATGCCGATGTCTGGTTGTAGGAGACTTCAACGCACCATCAGTTGACTGTGATAGACTAACAACAGAAGCACTATGTAATTCGCTCGACCATAGGTTAGTAGAAACATCAATTTCCTTGGGCCTCATATAGCACATTAGGACACCAACCAGCTATGATCATCAGACTGCTGTATCAGTTCTAGACTTAGTGTTCTCACATACAGATGATGTATGCTTCATCTGGGACATATCACCCCTTGATAAAAGTGACCATACTGTGATCATCTTCAGATTCACAGCAGACGTCTTGTACCAGTCCGATGCCCCAGCTAGACCCAACATATGGAAAGAGAATATGGAAACTATTTGGCTGGCACCCTCTTCGGAAGACTGGACAGTCAACCCAGAAGCCTCAAATGAAGGTGCATGCTGCTCCTTCGAACAGTTATATGCACGAGTGACCCAATCCTTCATTCCGGGGACGGAAACACCTTCCTCCGTGGATAAACCACGAAATCCGAATCTTGCTACGACGTAAAAAAAGTGTTAGAGTTTCTCCACCCACCTCGGCACACCCGAAGTGGCAAAGCATTACAAAGAAGCCCGCAATAAATGTATCGCTGCCATCCGCCAGTCTCGAATATGCTTTGAAACACGTCTTTCCCAGGCTGCATTGTAACACTTGAAGAGGTTATTTTCCTATATGAACTACAGAAGTAAGATGTCTCGTGGTATACCTGCCCTAGTCATAGGGACAGAAACTGGCTGTTTGATCAAGGACGATAAGGAAAAAGCAGAGGCCATGGGTAGAAGTTTGCTGGGGTCTTCACACAGGGATATTCCGTAGACACTTATTCCACAGTGGAGGCTTTGACGTCCAACGGAATAAATTCTGTGGATATCGGTCGCAATGATGCATTTCGGATATTAGGTAATGTTGACGTGGAAAAATCAGCGGGATCAGACGAGCTGCACCCAAAGCTTCTCAGAGATCTGGCTCTCTATGTAGCCGGCACACTGACTACCATATTCAGACTGTCTCTCAGTGAAGGCATACTCACCCATGGCTGGAAGGATGCTATAGTAACACCCATTCACAAGGCAGGTTCTAGGCGGCTCCCATCAAGTTACGGATCGATAAGTTTGAATACTACTGTAGTAAAAGTCCCAGAAAGCGTAATCAAGAAAGCCATCACAATCCACTTGGGGATGAACACTTTGCTGTCTCGCTTGCAGCATGGCTTTCGTAGAAATTTTTCTTCCAACACGAACCTCCTTACGGTCAGAGAAAGTTGGGTTAGGTCTAAAGATGATAGGATACCTGTAGGTGCCATTTTCATCGACTTTAGCAAGGCAATTGATAAAGTACCTCATTCCAGGCTGCTCAGGAAACTGGAAAGTTTTGGAATTGCTGGCAGCCTGCTTGCACGGATAAGAGGGTTCGTCGTTGGTAGGAGACAAAGAATAAGGATCAGTTCCTCCTTGTCCTCTTAAGAGTCGTAAAAGAGTGGAATGCCGCAAGACAGTTCCAGGTTCTCTGCTGTTTCTCCCATACGTAAATGAGCCGCAAAATATTACGAAATCTTCTTTGGTTCTCTATGCCTATGGCATAAAAGTCTGGAGGGAAATTAGGAACGATGGGGATATGCATGCGCTTAAGATAGACCAGGACAGCTTGTTTACCTGGTCAGAGAAGTGGCTGACGCCTACCAGTGCGGGTAAATGTATGAGCATGCACTTGGGACACAGACACAGCAACACCCACGATATTGATGGGACTCCATTACCGTCAGCGCTGACCCACAGTGACCTGGGAGTCACAGTGAATTTTGACCTAAACACCGCTGTCGATTGGTGGAGTTTTGGGACTCTTTGGGTATTGCGCAGAACGTTTACGAAAATAAGTGGTGACATGTCTGCCATCTTATACACATCCTTAGCTGGGCCTAAATTAGAAGGCTGTACGCTGTTGGCTATTCCTTATCTGGAACGCGACGTAGAACCTTCAGAAGTTCAGAGGGCAAACACTCGTATGATCCCTGCGATGCAAGGCCCACGTATGAAGATCGGCTTAAGGAGCTGGACCTCTTCTGTGTGTACTATTACAGAAAGAGGGAGACCCAATCATGCTTTACAGTATTCTAAGAAGCGACTTTGGACCTGGCCTATCTTCTCTTTTCCTTCCTACTAAGTCAGAACACCTCAGAGGACATAGTATGAGGCTACAAAAGGAATGAACGAACGTAGTATCCCCACAGTGTTGGTCCTCGCATCGAGTAATCAACGCCTGGAACGGACTCCCAGAGGAAGCTGTGGTAGCATCATCGACTGAGTCGTTCAACATGGGATTGGACAAGCACAAAAGTCTATTGTAAACGGATTATTATAGGCTCATAGTCTTTTATCCTTACCTAACAAAAATTCGACTTTAGATAGATCCGGCCCCTTACTCAATCCTTTGTATTCCCACCGTCATCGTGAACTTGCCTTACGCTTTCCTATTGAAGGTCTCACCTTCAGTAACCTTGCCACCACCTATATCATTACTGTCTTTTTTCGCATTATCTATTCTATAACCTTTCCTACTCTTTCCCTCTTAATTTTATACTTTCACCCTATTTATTAAAGTTCTACTTAATACAGTCTTATTTCCTACCTTCCATGAATCTGCCTAACTTTCTACTCTCTCCTCATCATGCTTCTTTCCAGACTATTTTTCACCTTATCTCTCTTTTTTAGCTCGATATCTCATTGCCCCTACCTTCCTTTTACAGCTGCCCCGAACAATTATCTGGTGACATGACAATTGAGGAACGCATGTGCACCACAATACTTGGACAGTTCATACGACCTCTGAACATTTAAGTAATACCCAACCGCCTGCTGAAGGCAGTAGGACCATGAGAGATGAGTGGGTAGATCCACTGCATCAGAATCCACTAAAGACTTGGAACCCTTCTGCAAAACCTAAAAGCGAGCGTGAAATAAATAATTGGTTTATAAGCTCGTAGGAAGATACTAGTTATTAGTTGCTGAAATCACGTGTTACCGCAGTAGTATTATACAATGAAGTCAGAGGGATTAGATCCCAGTGAATGAACTTCTGAACACATCTCTATTTTAAGCAATTGGACATCTGATCATCATTTAAAGTCCGAAAATGTTACACTTTTAAAAACACAGCTCGTTTTCGCTCATGACCTGTAATTATAATTCTTATTGTAAATTGTGGGATGTTATTATGCTGCTGGCTATGGAGATCTGCATTATTTGTAGTTCCTCTTTTAAATATTTGACTACGAGGCAACAGTTGTTGAACCTTCGATGCATAACTGATCTGGACATAAACGTGCTTAACTTTAATCTATATTGCATTATTTTTGTAATTTTAACATTCATATTCAGTGCATGCGTGTGTTTTATAAAAATGAGACACTTGTCTAAAGATAGATACCAGATTAATACACTTGAAGTATCCCCAAAATACTTCTGTAATCATCGTAATTTCGTTTATTCACCGGAGCGACGCAGACTGAACACAAAGACCGATATTTTACTCAAAAAAATTCACAACTTTATTTCATTTCATGATGCATTCCACTTTTCCCTACATCTGGTCAGTGCTTTAGTTTTAATGTTACCATTACCGATATCTACTGGAGAACAGTTGAGACTTGGATTGCTTGCTCCACGTAAGTTTAATTCAGTGAGTTTTACCAAGAAATTTTCAGCAGTAAAATCTTCAATAGTCTGTGATCTAAAACTTACATAAAGGAATAGTTTTGAGTTGATCAAATTCTCAGTTATAAGTTTATCGTGGTTATTGTGAGTTATCACTACCTATAGGCCTTCGTCAGCGTCGACCTGGAAGTAATTTGGCAACTGTTTCAACACTGCGGAATACCACAAACCTTTATCAACCCCATTCAACAACTATATGACGACGCCATATGCCAAGTGATTCACAGCAGAAAGCTCAGTGACACCTCTGAAGTTAAGACAGGAGTACGACAAGGCTGCCGCCTACCATCACCGATCATCTTCCTGATCGTAGTTGACTGAATCATGCAACAAACAGTGAGGGGCAGGAAGATGGGCATGTGCTGTTTGACAGATGAAAAGACCCCAGAATATTCCGATTTCGCCGATGATTTATGTCTAGTGTCACACAAACTCGAAGATCTAAAGGCAAAACCAACAAGTTGACAGAAGAAGTGGGGCAGCGAAGACGGGATTTTAAGTAAATGTAGAGAAGACAGAGGTGATGAAGATACCCAACCAACAACAACAAGCCGCAGTCCCTATCAACGGGGTAAACTTAAAGGGAGTAGCCTCTTTCACCCATCCAGGCAGCATCGTTTCAATTACAGGCGGCACAGACGAAGACGTCAAAGCCAGGATCAGAAGAGCAAGACAAGTGTTCATTAACCTGAAACCTGTGTAGACGTCTTCTTCACTCAGCATAAAGCGCGAACAAGATCCGCATTTTCAACACCAATGTCAGTGCTTCTTTATGGTTGAGAATCTTGCCCCGTCACGAAAAGCATTTCCATTAAACTACAGACATTCATCAACAGCTGCCTCCCACGCTGGCTCGATGCTGAAAACGAGATGGCCAGAAAGAATAAACACCAAGGAATTCCGGCCTAGCAATAAACCAATCAAGAACCCATCACCCAACGAATATGTAGAAGAAAGTGGAGATGGACTGGATTGAGCCTACACTGAGCAGACCGATTGGGGACATCATGCGACAGGCCCTGAAGTGGAATTTAAATGGAAAACGACGAGTTGGGAGGCCGAGGGTGACATGGAGGAGGTCATGTGAGGAAGAGAAGAAAGTTTCTAAGCAGTCATGGAGTCAGGTTGAAAAGACTGCAGAAAAATGAGTGCAATAGAGACGTGCTACTGAAGCCCTATGTTTCACTATGAACCCAAGAGATAAACAATAAATAAATAGACCAAGTCAAGTCTGAAAAGAGTTCCCGACCTTACTATCCGATTTCATGAAATAATTTGCTCCGTGGCATCACTGATTCATCCCTATCACTAGAAACGATGCTCAAAAGTCAGTTATTTCTAGTGGTATTATTTAGGAGGTTGCCGAGAATTTTCATGGATTTAAAATCTTTCAGACAAGAACTAGGAAATTATCATTTTCAAGTGAATGGGACTTTTGAAGGCAAATCATCGTCAATTCACCTGGACATTAAAATAGTGGTCGATTTTTGGAAAAGACTGTGCTGAAATATGTTATCCGCAATATTAACAAAACTATTAGTTGGGAATTACCGTATGATTATTTAGCCAGCGACATAAGAATGCTGGATAAGAAAGTTTTGCATCTCATAATCAGTGTTTATGAAAATGTCTGTTTTGTATATGAAACGCTGGTCTTCAGATATACAATCTTATATGGTCCTAAGAGATCTCCACACTCATTCTTACTTTCCTATGTATGGGAAATCAGTATATGATACCTCTGTGGCATGCAATGTGGATCAATACTGACTCATGCTTTAAAACTTTGAGCAATGCACTTTTTCTGTTCTGATATAAGATAAATTTTTATTGTCTAAGTTGTTTTGAGTAATTCTGTAACCTTATTGTGCCACCATTCACATTGATACCAAAGAATAATTGTTACTTCGAAGATAAGACCCAGCCTTTATTTGAATGGTTTGTAAAATTATTTTACCGAATAATTAATGACATTGCATCTTGAAGTGTAGATAACAATCAAGGCATCTTGGCGCAACAGATTTCTGTAATCGGTTATGCCCTTTACTTATGCCACGGTGCAGAAGGTTTTTTCCGCCATGTTTGAATTGAAACCAAATATGCCAGACCTAATTAATGCTTTCACTAACGTATAAGAGGAAGTCCTTGTGAATCACATCTAAGACTATATGATAAATGCAATTAAAACTAATTCTTAAAATTGTAGTTGCATTAACTTGCGATAAAAAATGGTAATTACACGATGGTTACCCTACGCATCAGTGGTATGAAGGAATTTCATTATGACTTTTCAACTTTCATCTCTGTGATCCCAATAAACTCAAGTTCGTTGAACACCTTATATTCACACTACGCTTTAGGTTGTGTCCATCAGTGCTATCAAATATGCATGCGAGATAATTGTTAAATGTGTGTCACGAGTGACTCTATTTGCATTATGTTGTGAAGTGGCTGAAGATCTGATGTTCACCCGTGCCAAATAGTCTTCTAAGAAGTATGAGGTTTATTTTCAACTTAGTATTATGATTTGGAACGGTTCTCTTGATACAAAACAACTTATATCTATATAATTGGCCTATAAAATGTTTGGTTTATTGTGTGATACCAATAAGTTTAAAAAGAAATGCAATAAGACATTCCAAGAGCAATATCTTGCAAAACTCTCCAAACAACATTTTGCAGTAACAATTGGTAACCGTATTAGATGATGACGTTTATGTAAATGAGAACCAATTCTGCAGAGAAACAATTTTAGGCCCTCTAGCGCTGCATTCAAAATTGGAAAAAATACCTAAATAAGCAAGTAGGATTTCGTTTTTAATGGTGACCATGAGGTGAGTATTAATAAGCTCACGAGATAAAGAGATACTCACTGAAGTTCTTCAGACTATGTAAGAACACTAAAAATAGAAAGACTGGGATGAGCACGAAAGATAGCAAAACCACTTGAAAAGCTCCGATTGACTAAAAACGTTCATGATACGTTACTGTCTCATTGATTGAGTTCATATCTAGGAGCTTTCCTAACCTAGTTTTTATATTTACCTAAAATAGCTACAGAATATTGAATAACGTCCCTTAGGAACTGATAGCATTAGTGCTAGTTGATAAGGATTATAAATTTTTGCGGTAAAGCGACAAATTCTCTGGTGCATTGGGATAAATAGATGTAGTTCAGGATAACCAGTATTAAAGAATGCGGTTGTGGAAATAAAGCATCTACAAACTGCATAAATTAACCGAAGACATCCTTAATAGTGTGATTAGCAGCTACATTCTAGAATGCAAAACCAGCCGAAATGGGAGTTTCACGCTACATCACGAACTAGAGAGTCTAACACACTAGTATATAAAAAAAGTCAACTCCTAAAATCCTTGATTAATACAGATAAAATATATTTTCAGGCTGAGAAGTACTCAGCATTTGTACAAACTAGAAAGCAAAAACTCGACTGCCCTATGCAGTAGTAAAAGTGGGTTGAATAATATCGTTGTGTCCAGCTGCATAGATGAAGTTGGCCTTTTATATTATGCACTTCGTATTCTAAGCTTCCTAGAATACACGAAACATGCTGCTTTGTTCACAAACCTCAGAGCATTTCGGAATTAGAAGAGAGCAGTTCTGGACACAAAATTCGAAGTGCTGAAGTCGATCTATGTCGATAAACTACTCTTCCTCCGGATGTTAATTCATGAAACTTCCTACCGGTGAAACAGTTTGGCTACCACTTAGTAAACAGTGTTGTAATGACCTATAACTTAATAGTTACCAGCGAAATTAGTAGGCTTTAATCATCAAATACTTGTAATGAAATCATTTCGTCTCTTTCGATGGCGTTATAATAAACGTGTATATTCTGAGATGCAGAAGGTCTTCATAGATAATTCTTACGTGTTGAGCTTTTCTGGTAATGACGATATGCTTCTCATTTTACAGAGGATATGTGAACCAAGTGCTAATTTTACCAAAACTGTCAACAGTAAAAATACATTTAGCAGTAAAATGAACTTCAAACTGGACTTTATAGTAAGTTAGAACTGATCAGCTAGCCAATTTCAATGAAAACAGAAAGGGGTACCTTGGATTGGAACTACGACTGATGTCCGAAAGCTGTGCGGCCAGCATTTAAGATGAGGGGGGTTGGTGAGTTTACTAGTGAAGTAACCAACCGACAAAAAGTGTCATCAACTGGTGTGAGTTCCAAGTTTGAGGAGTTATCAACAAAAATACATGGTACCGATGGAGTAAGGTATATGACATTAACGTGACAAGCTCAGCCACTGGTTAATGAATCTTCTGTTGCAGCTGACTGAAAATAGATGCTAAATAGCCGTTGTTATTTATGAGTCTTTACTTATACTTTAATATTGTACTAAAGTGCATAGTTGAAGTAACAAAATGGTCCTTTAGCAGGCATCTTAGCGATCAAAGTCTTTACGCTGCTGAAACATGCCAGTGACAGTGTGATGTGCAGCCTGAGGGAACACATCAACCTTTTTTGATTCTTTCTTGTTTTTCTGTAGAATTCCAAATACCCTACCATAGGTGTTTTGGGATGACTTTTCCCATTTCCAGTCGCCTCATGATCACTTGAAGTTTTCAGTTTTACGAAGTGGTCATTTGGATGCCGTCATGTCCATAAAGATATAGCTAGCGGTACTTTCTTTTGACTATAAGTCTGCAATATAAACATAAACGAAATATTCTGGTCAATAAAATATGCTGATATGCACTTTTTTTTAAAAGATCAGAACCGTTGTTTCGCCCTCTTCAGAACGATTTCATCATAGTTTGTGATCTTGAAATTTTTAAACAGAAGCCCTGTTCTCACAGCAATCCAATAATTTAGAAAAGACTAGTCCTACAGAAGTTTTAAAATGAACTGTGAAAATTGTACACAGTTAGCAAATTGAAAACATCCGGTGACTGGGTGTATCTTACCATCTAGAAGCAATGTATTGCAATCCACGACTTTGAGTGTTTCATAGGGTGGACATTTTGTGTTGTCTGCTTCGACGACAAAGTACAATCTTAAAGATAAGGGTGATTGTCTGATCATACACATCTGGTATATTCTAATGGGACCTGCTTCTGAATTGAGCGCAAAGTGATTTTATGTTTAACTTCCTTTTTTTGAGCAAGATATCTCGTCATAGTCCAGTGGACTACGTTTATTGTATTTCTTTCGATCAGTTGGGAGATCACAGAGTAGTATATCAAACAAAGATACAACCCAAGACTAAAGATTAACAGAGAATGCGGAAACTTCTCACACCAAGAAAGCATATGAAGTTTTAAACCTTTAAGTTCTGCTTTACCTGTACTTCCTTAAATGATATGAAACACTATTATTAGCTTTGGCTAAGAGCTTATATCGGCTTTTTGAACCCAAATGGGTCAACATTTCGTATCTCAAATCAGTGTTGTATTGATAATAAGGTATTTTTTAAGTTGTCCCTTTAGTAAATATGGCCTTACATTTGTTCTCTCTACTACACTAGCGGAAGTCAACTTCACAAAAAAGGATAGGATTTTCCAGCCGAGCAGCATGCTTTTATTCCAGGAAAGACAAAACCTGGAGTTTAAAGGGTTAGAAAGAAAATAATAGCGCTGAAAGATTAATCTTTGCACGAAATAATTCTCACAATTGAATCAGATGTGAACATAATACATGAATCTTCCTTTTTAGGATCAATAGATTAGCTACTAATTGTGAAATATCTTTGAACCAGTCTGCTGTTGAACTTTTTAAGTACTAAGTTAATTCTGAGACTTAAATATTAAGAAGTAGTATTCATCATGGACTGATAACAGTTGGGGAACCATTGGAAATCTAGGAGCACTGGACAGCTGTTTCGTCCTAGTGTGGGACTTCTCAGCAGTACGCACCCACGACCCGGCTAGGGATCGAACCCAGGACCTTCAGGTTTTACGGCGAACGCGTTAACCATTCAACCACTGGGTCTGTTTCCGGTGGTTCACAATTCAAAAATTCATTACTGTATAGCACTCATCAATGACTTGCATCCGGATGGATGTCACGAAGCCATAATGAGAAGCCATTAGCTTCGGGGTCAACCAGTTGGAAGTGAAGCGGATGTCAACTGAAGATTTTGGGTGACAGTTGCGCTATATCGTGAAGTGACAGAAGGTGGAAATCGTGGCTGAACGATTAATGCGTTCACCGTGAAACCTTAAGTCCTGGGTTCAATCCCTAGCCGGGTCATGGGTACGTACTGCTGAAGAGTCCCATACTAGGACGAAACAGCTGTCCAGTGCTCCCAGGTTTCCAATGGTTCCCCAACTGATGTCAGTCCATGATGAATACTACTTCTAAATTAAAATCCCCATTCATCTCAAAAATACATTACTTAAATATTAATTTTTTACCCAATTTATCTTAAAATTCATTCTCAGAGTAAACATAAGGTATTCAAAGTAAGATCCGAGATTAATGGACTTCTTGTTGCATTCAGAATTCCTGTGAAAATTTCGGCAGTGACAAACCGGAGTTGCATAATCCATCTTTTTTTCCACTCTTCGTTTTTGTAAGAATAACGAGCAACAGTGTACGCTAGGCACCTAATGCAAGTCATGGGTTACTTTCAGCTACAACTGAAGTATTCAGGTAATATAAAAATGTAGACTAATTTGAAGCTCATATAACTGGGTGGGTTGAACTGTTTATGTAACATTTTGAATGAACTCAAAGCGCAAAATATTACTGTCCACCCTACTTATGATGCTTTTTTCTGTTTTTTTCTACAGATGCTTTGTGGCAAACAGACCTCAGTTTTATTTTTCCTCCACGTTCACTGTCTACACGACTAAATGCTCTTGGTGTTGATGAAGAAAGACTAATGATAAACTCTGAACCATTAATGTCATCAATTCTGGCCCTGCAACCACCTGCAGTTGGTGGATTGGGTCAGTGGCCTGAAACAAATTTTCAACTTGAGTTAGCAAGCACTTTTCATTGGTCGAAGAATGGATACATTTTAGTACAAAAACCTAATATGATTGCACATTATACTAACTTCATTATTCAGTCAACTTCCATAGAACTAGTGAATTTTTTAATTGCTGGTTTATTCTTCGCTATTCAACTTTCAGTGGTGTTCTGGAGGATTTCTCCAGCATACACGTGTATTTCCTGTATACTCATTGCTCTAGTTATAATTCAAACCACCATTGAATATTCAGCTGTGAGTGTGATTGTCAAAATTTCAATCTCTCTTGGGCACAACCGTGTTTACGAACAAAAAGAAAATATCAGTTTGTCCTTCTCATTAGCAGAATTAAGGGATAGTTTTAACTTTTTCTCATCACCTGTATACTTTTCGCCATGGTTTATAGTACTGTCAGCTACGTTAGCATTTTTGCTAACATATATGTATCTCAGTACACTATACACTTTTGGAATTGCATGTTCAAATGAGTTCAATGAGTGCATTCAAAACATCAAACAAAAAAAGATATTCGCCATCTCTTCCAATCTTGGTTTACACAGTATGCGTCACATAAATACTTTTCCTTACTTTGATGAGACCTTAAAAACTTCAGAAACTCATCAAGAAGTGGGACCTGTTTTCTGCACCAGTCAAAATATAAAAGCAATCAGTATGCCAATAAAGCCTTTTAGGATTTCTTTAAGTGCAATATTTTTCTTGTTGACAAGCGTGATACTCCGAATTCCTATCTACTATGATTTAATGAATATATACTGGGACAATGGTGATTCTCTCTGTCTGACATCAACTATACTTACAATAGCTAACCTTATTCTAGGACTGTTAATATGGTCTTTTCTTCCTATTAAAATGAGGTGGTTATTTGAACACCACAATACAAAGACATCTTCAATTTCTCACGTTGCTTACAATCCAGTCACCCTTAATTGTCAATCCTATGAGCATGATACCGAAGCCTCATCAAGAGATAGAATAAGAAGTCTTCATACTATGAATGGAAATGTGACCAGAAATACTCAAATGCATCTAGAATCGAATATTCTTTTCGAAACTCAAGAAAACAAAACTGCTTCAGATTATTACTGTAGAAATGAATTAAATCAGGACAGCTTACCTCAAAGATTAGAAGAAAAGCTTTCACATATTATTTGCCCATTAACTGATTGCATAACTAGTGTCCAATCCATTTTACCCTATGAGAAGGAGAAATGTGGTAAATACAGATGTCCAGCAAAAACCCACCGTCAAACATACTCATCAGAATTTAATAACTATATTACCGATTCCCATAGGGTCATTGAAAATCCAGAAGCTGAGGACTCACTGAAAAATTCAAAAATACTTCAGAACAAAGCTCTTAGAGAGCAAGTATCACAAGTTGATGATAATATGACACATGGTTCCACGATATATACCTCATATAACAAAACACCGCTTACTACAAAACCATATGAAGCAACTGTCTCTGCCTACAAGCAGACTTCAAAAACAAATATTGCTGATTCCACCAAAGATATAAGTATGTTTTACGTCAATAATGATACAGAGTACAGACTATGTGGTTGTAACTGCCTGAAAGAAAATGAAACTCGAAAAATGCATGTAAAATGCTTCAAAAATGAAACTTCTTCAAAACTGAAAAAGCATGAATTAAAGGTAAGTTGTTCAGAAAAGTGGCAGAGGAATGATACTGAGGAACACTACTCTTCTGCTTACAGTAAAGGCCAACAGAATTATTATTTTGACGATAAAATATCAAAAAGGCAAAAGACTTCAATCAAGAACAGTTTGTATTGTGGTCACTTTAAGCAAGAACCTACGAAACAAAATATGGAACCCTCTTTGTCTTGTGACTCGAATAGTAAAGTGAATTTAGAAAGATTTCGCAATGCTTCCATAACTCTATACTGTAATCGCTTTAATGCTCCAAAGTCAAAAAATTGATGAGAACGACTGCTGACTGAGGAAGCCTTCTTTAATATATTTTCTATCATCATTGTAATTGATTTCTGACTACCATTCAACAGAAAAGTTAGTAATAAACCCAAATGAGTTTAAAGGCAAATAACAATCTGAAATATAAATGACGTTTCATCTGTTTATAATGTATGGTTTTCATACAAATACTTAATAAGTTACATTCGTAAATAAGTATCATTACAGAGTTGCCATCTTTCCGATATGCATTTAGTTCAGTTGTGCACTTCATATGTCAGTGTTATTCTGTAAAACATTTTTCATAGAATTCCTCATTTTGTTTTTCTTTTCTTTCGTTAACATTCAAAAGACTTGAGTTTGCTGTTTAAACGTAGAACCGTCATATTTATGATTACCTACTGTTTGTTTACACATTAAACACAAATGATGAGACAGCAGAGTCGTTAAGAAATCATGAAAACTTATGTGTAGTCCTTATATGAATTACATTTATACGACGGAGAATATTTGTAGCTCAGAAGGATAATTTCGATGGTACTATATTCTCTAAGCTGGATGGTTTAATCGTATCTCTGAACTGGGTGGTTTAATCATGAAGCTCTCATTGTCATTCTGAGCAACATCAGCAGAAACTTCTTTCAGGGGAATAATTATCACTACTGATGGGTGTAATGAAAGGCTGAAAAAGGTGTTTCGAATGGTGTGATGACTTCCTGTTCAGCTTCTGTTAATCAATGACATCTAATAACAAAAACTTCAGTAGTCTGGAGAAGCAGTCAAGTAAATTTTAACTAATCAAGAAGACTATCCTCTAGTACTGTCTGTTGTCATGCTCACAATGTGAGCCTTAATACTATAACACTAAACCTAGTTTATTTATCATTTTTCTAATCACTACCATTGTGATAATTATTTGTGGTCTTTATTCAATTTTACTACCGACTTGTATAGGTTGGTGTTTTTTTCAACTGACAACATAATAAACCTTCAAATATTAAACGTGACTGAAATCTATCAATATAAGTCGTATATTTTCCCCGCCTGTTTTCTTAAGTTTTTAAATCTACACTGAAGCATTTAATCCTTGAGTGAATAAGTAAGATACTTTACCAGCTCCCAGGTAATGCAACTCAGACATTAATATAATGAAAATCTGTTTTCTAAACAGTTCAATGTAATAGTTTAGTCACAAATTTCAGCTACATGCAAAGGATTTTAACCCTTTTTGAATAGTCGTCTGACTGAATTTGTGAATTTCATTTTACGAAACTTCAATCCAGAAAGCAAATGATCCCGCAATATACATCACACATTTTGGGTACACTTTTACATGCATTTATTATTGTTTTAAACTAAATTCATAGTGGAAATGCTAGCTGTAGGTGACCAAGTTATTCATTTGAGACTAATTGGCAGAGAATATTCACAACCCAACGAGATGGATATAAAGGCAGTCTAGTGTTGGCTATACTTAAAATTTAGTCATGTATGTTTCATTGACAAGTTGATTGACTCTATCTGAACTCGATGAACAAGTAATCGAAGCGAGAATCTTTTATTTTTGAAATATCAGTTTCGTGTAAATTGAGGCAATCTTGTATGCTGATAGCATGTTATAACCATACATTTTTTTACACCCATTTCACAATGTACTAGGGGGAGTGCCTGCAGTCAGTAAATACTCACCATTTTAGGCTCACACTAATGAATTTTTTAAAAGCTGAAGCACGCGTTTTTGAAAACCCAACTTTGTGGTTAATTTTATTGAATTAACAATATATTAGCCGGTCAGTTTTTTCAAAGTTTGATAACTCACACTTAAGTATCAAATTGAGTGATTATATGAGTTTACACTTCTGCGAATACTTTGTTTGAATTCTTGTGGAACCGGAGTCAATGAGATATTAGATTATTATTTACCGATCCGTTTAACCACAATCTTGTCGAGTCTTGTTTTAGAGAAGGCTTACTGATGTGAATATATATCTGTGACTACCAAACTGATTCTAGATTATCATTATTACTATGTTGTTGCTATTATTTTTTGAAAATCTCAGAACACTATGAATAGCTTAAAAGTGAGCGACACAAAATAAAATAACAGCATTGTGAAGATAATTATGCTAGGATTAGGCAATGACCGAAGAATTACGTGAAGGGAAGTAGTTACAGAAGATACTATCAAAAAGCATTTATTTATCTAAAATCATTTACATTTGTCAAAGATGCAACTATGCCACAGCATGATTACTACTGGTTTGCCTTCTGAACAGTGTCTGATAATCTCTCGAGTCACTGAGTTGCATTATCTTTAGGACCACAAAAATGGAGTCCTATAGTACTAGCTTGTAGGGATGCGTGTTACAATTCCGTAACGTTTGATCAACCCTACTTAATTTGATGTGCTCTAGTACCTGCTTAACCAGTACTTTACCTAACGTGTAAGTACTGGTAACAAAACACAAATCAAAAGAACTGATACGCAATGTATTTAAAGGAGCTATGTATTTAAGGTAAATGTTATAATAATGAATGAGGGAAAAGTTTAATCAACTTATCTGGCTTGTAAGGCTGAACTAGGGACTCGGAGTACGTGCGTGGTGATCAGCACAATGGAGCGCAAAAATGGCGTCCAAGCCTGCTCGGATGCATGCTCGTTAAAACAAAACTTAAAACACCCTAAGCATCCGGAGGCAAGCTAGAGATTTATTTAGTTAATTTAATTTAAACTATTTATTTTAGCCCTAGTTATATTTTGGTGCCAGGAAGGTGCACTACAGGTTATCCCCCTCCTAGAAGGTTGTTGGGATACCGGCAACCTTCGATCCTAGGAGGCGACTGCGAGGCGGACACGCAACACCTTTCCATATTGGTGATGGAGTAGGTGACGTGTGGGTCTCCGAAGCTAGTGCAACTATGCACACCTACGAGGTAAGATAACTTTGCGTCTAGACGCAACCCTTCTCGCAGTGGTGGAAGGTGACCCAAAGCCTCCGTCTACTTTTCCCTATTGCTTCTTAATCTACCGGGGAGTGTACAGGGGGAAATTGGTACAAAGAGAACCGAAGAACGATCCAAGTAGCATCGTCAGCGGCCAATTGTATCCAATTTTCAACGCATTTTCTAGGTTCTGCAAGAAGAAAGAAATGGGACATTAGAGTGCTAAGAAAAGAAAAACCAAACAATTCGAAGTGGGAGGAGTACAGAAAAAAAATAATAACCAACCAAAAAAAGTTTTCGGAATTTAAATTGTATTTTTGGTTTTTCTTTTTTTTTTTTGAAAAAAAACTGTTTGCAAAGTAGTAAACAAGACTTTTGAAAACTTTAGGTATGAAAACGCATTGAAAGTGTATGCCACGACAAAGTAGTTGAAACTCCGAATTCACCAAGTGTGAAGTTGCTCTGGGGCTAATTAACGAACTCGGCGTATCGCTTGGGCCAATGTACACGCCTCCCAGCACGTGTAGAGGGTACTGGATCAGTGTTACTAGACGTGGCTCTTTTAGAAGGTTCAGGATACGCGCGACTAAACGAGTCTGTTTGGGAGTCCGGCGGCAAGGGTTTTTCTAGTTGTGTCGGTGTAGAGGAAGGCGGGTCGTCCTCTATATAAGCTGCCTTCAAACGATCGACACTTATAGAATCCTGCCGTCCAGATCTGTCAATGACGAAAAACTTTTCTTTCCTACTGAGAACCTTGAAGGGTCCGTCGTATGGTGGCTGTAAGGGCTTACGTACACCGTCACAACGCACAAAGACGTGAGTGCAATCTTGGAGTCTTTTATCCAGCTGCACCCGTCTACACTGTATCCGTGTGGATGAGGGTTGGAGGCGACGCATGTGTAACTTAAGAGTTTGAGCATAGCCATGGATATCGGTAGGAGTTGGGTCACTGCAGTCTGAAGCGACCATCTCACCCGGCAAACGTAAGTTACTACCGTAAACTAACTCAGCAGGTGTACACTGTATATCAGTCTTGAGTGTAGAACGGATGCTGAGAAGAACCAACGGCAGAGACTCAGTCCATTTCATATTGTCGACTGCCATTAGTGCGCTCTTAAGGTGTCGGTGGAATCGCTCCACCAAACCATTGGAAGCTGGATGATATGCGGTAGTGCGGATGCGTTTGCATCCCAACAGATTCATCAGCTTCTGGAAGGTAGCGGATTCGAACTGTTGGCCTCTGTCGGTTGTCACGGTGGAAGGGCATCCAAACTGTGAAACCCATCCTTCGACGAAAACCCGACTTACTGTTTCGGCAGTAATGTTAGACAGTGGGATGGCTAACGGCCAGCGAGTAAACCTATCGACACATGTCAGTAGGTAACTATATCCATTGGAGGGTGGAAGTGGGCCGACAATGTCTAAGTGGACATGAGCGAATCGTGAGTCAGGTTTGGCGAAAGTTCCAAGTGGTGGGATGTTGTGACGATTCACCTTGGAACGTTGGCACTGAATACATGACCGTGTCCAGTTTCGAACATCACGGTTAATACCAGGCCAAACAAACCTAGCAGATATGAGCTTGTCAGTGGCGCGGATGCCAGGATGTGAAAGATTGTGCAAAGCATCAAAAACATGCTTACGCAAGGGTAAAGGAACAACCGGTCTGGGTGTGCCTGTGGAGGTGTCGCACAATATTGACACTTCACTGTTCAGGAGCGGTAACGCTGTATCTTCAGAGAGGATGAGTGTTGAAGTTTTTCAATCTCCTCGTCTGAATCCTGAAGTTCGGCAATCTTCCGTAAGTCGACTGCTCGAGGCAAAGTAGTGGTGCAAACGCGAGACAGTGCGTCCGCGACAGGGTTATTCACACCAGAAATATGACGGATGTCCGACGTGAATTGCGAAATATAATCTAGGTGACGTAATTCACGCGGTGAATATCTGTCAGTAGTGGTGTGTAAGGCATACGTCAGAGGTTTATGGTCGGTAAAGATGATGAAGTCACGACCTTCCACAAAATGACGAAAATGTTTCACTGAGGCATATATGGCGAGCAGTTCCCTGCCGAAAGTGCTGTACCGCATTTCGCAGGTGGATAACTTCCGGGAGAAGAATGCAACTGGGATCCAAGTGTGATCCGAAAGTTGTTGCAACACAGCTCCAATGGCCGTGTTAGAGGCGTCAACCGCAATGCTAAGAGGTAGGTTTACGTCTTGATGCACCAGCATCGTGGCGTCTGCTATTGCGGTTTTGATCTTGCGAAATGCTTCTAGTGCCTCAGGAGTCAAGCTGAAAGTTTTACATTTACTTTTCAGCAGGTCGGTCAGTGCAGTCAAAATGTGTGCACATTGGGGAACGAAGCGACGATAATAGCTCACCATACCCAGAAACACACGCAGAGCTTTAAGTGACGCTGGGACTGGGAAGTCTTGGATCGCCTGTACCTTTTCAGGTAGTGGGCGAATGCCTTGCTCGTCGATAACGTGTCCCAAAAATTTTAGTGAACGAACGCCAATTGGCATTTGGCCAGGTTGACTGTCATCGAATGCTCTGACAGTCTGGCGAAAACCTGTTTCAAGTGGTTAAAATGAGTGTCTTCGTCTGGACTAGCGATTAGTATATCGTCTAGGTAGGCATAGGCGAAATCGAGTCCACGTAAAACATCGTGAATAAAACGTTGGAAGGTTTGTGCTGCATTGCGAAGACCAAAAGGCATACGGAGGAACTCAAAAAGACCAAACGGTGTAATGACGGCTGTCTTGGGAACATCATCAGGATGAACCGGGATCTGATGATATGCACGCGTCAAGTCAAGCTTACTGAAGATAACCGAGCCTTTTAAAGATGCAGTCAAGTCGTGAATGTGAGGGACTGGGTAACGATCTGGAATCGTTTTAGCGTTGAGCCTTCGGTAGTCACCACAAGGCCTCCAGTCCATGCCATTGTTCTTGGGTACCACATGCAAGGGTGAAGACCATGGACTGTTGGATGGTCTGATTATTCCCATTTCAAGCATGTGTTCGAACTCGGCTTTTACAGCACGCAGTTTCTCCGGGGATAATCGCCGTGGTTTCGCAAACACTGGCGGGCCAG